GACCGCTTCTATGGCCTCCCCAAAGTACACAAGGAGGGCGCTCTTCTCCGACTCTTCGTATCACTGAAAGGCACTCCAACGTACGGACTGGCAAAATGGCTGTTTCGGCGTCTTGAATTTCTGATCGCTGATTCGGAGATCACGGTCCACTCATCAAAACAATTCTTGGAGAAACTCAAAGGGGTAAGTCTCCTGCCACGCGATATCATGGTTCCCTTCGATATCACGTCTCTTTTTACTTCTATCCCTCAGGACCTGGCAGTGAAGACCATCGACTGCTGCAAACATAACTTCCTCACAGGCGAGGCGATCAAGGCAGTAGTTCGCATATACCGGAAATAGAATGGGACCCAGAACGCCCTCTTGCGGGACCCCACAGAAAACGGTTTTCCATTCTGATCTTAAATCTCCACTAGGAACACTTTGACGCCTGCCTGTGGGAAAATTGGCTAACCATTTGAGTAGACTGCCGGTCACAAACATTCGATACAATTTCGAGATCAGTCTTCCGTGTGAAACCTGCTTGAAGGATTTGCTGAAGTCAATGCAGATCGTATCGACTGACCAGCCCATTTCCAATGAATTTGTCTAACTTCCAATGGAAGTTATCAGGATAGTGAGGCAAAATCAACCACTTCTAAATCCATGTTGTTGCGCACTTATCAAGTTGTTCCCCTCAGTATGCCTCAACAGTTCCGTTTTGATTATTTTCACCATTAGTTCGCAACAAATACTTTTGAGACTCACTGATATAAAGCTATTAGATATGGTTCTCTTCCCTTTTTTATGATTGAGAGTTACAGTGACTGACTTCCAGTCGGAAGCAGAGCCTCTTCCCCATCAAACTTTCGAAGACCTTGGAGAGTGTGGTGGTCAGTTGTTCTGCGAACTCGTTCAGACCATTCGGACCAGGCGATTAAGAAGGCTATAGCTGTCTTCGGACATTATTTACTAAGTCTTTTACGAACGACACCGCACCACTTTTTACTCTTGGTGTGGCAATATAATGTTTTTTGTTTTTTATTTATCAGTAGTATATATTTATAGCATGTCTAGCATAATTTGTTTCCTACCTAGTTCAGGTCGGTGTCTTCGGTATTCGCTGCTGAATGACGACGGTGCTTTTCAAATACTTCTCAGCTGTCTCGGCTGCCCTCAAAGACAGTCGCCGATTTTTTTTTTCAATATACAATACTGTTAGGCAGAGAGCGGACCAACCATCATCCTGGATTGATGCGTTTCTTCAGCCGAACTGGGAGAGACTACTTTTCGAACTTACCTCTGCAGAAGGATCAAGGAAAAATCCATAAAGGATAGACTGTTTCCAGACCTGAGATATTCTAACTTCGAAACCTCTAACATCTATATAGCATGGATATTGTTTTCCATTTTTGATATTATTGTAGCTTTGTATACAGTTTTTTCACTTAGAACAAACTATCTATCTTGCACACTATTGACTAAGCATAAGACTAAAACAGAGCCAATATTTGAGTGCAAAAGAAAGGGTTTGTTTTAGGTTTTTTTCCTGTTTTCCAAGGGTTTTGACGGCGCCCAAGAGGTGCCTTACCAATAAACATTATTATTATTAATATGTCATGGTATATCCTCATCAGAAGACGGCTTCTCGGTAAACACAACATAGTGAATATAGCCAAGAGGTTCATCTTATCCGGGTTATCGTTTGACCCTGGTTGCCTTTAAGACAAGAACAGGGTCTTGGTGGTGTTTTGTCTTTTGAGTTGTTAGGCGGTCCTTTGACTGTCAGTCAGTATCAGTCAGTTCTGACTCAAAAACCGATCATTCTTTTCGCAGAAAATTTTGCTGTTTCCTAAAAGCGGAGAAGTGTTTAGGTTGTTGATAGTTGGCCTACGTGTTTCAAGTCTTCTTTTCTTCTTGAGGTTCCTTTTTATGTCCCTTGTCATCCACTCCGCCCGGGAGCTGCGTAAGCTCGTATTAGGCGGGTGCTAGCTCTGTAATAGGTGCTGAATTAAGTTTTTAAAGAGCACCAGGCGCCTTTGGGGTAGGTTTCGTATGCAGGGCTCCAACCGATTGTGTTTCTTAGTCCTTTATTTTTGGTATAATGCCCTTTCCGTACACTCTTCTCGCTTACTGCTCGAACGACGAGTACAGAGAAAAGGCTGCACTTCCAAACAAGAGGGCAATGATCGCTGCGGCCAAAAGATATTTATGGACTCAATCCCAGGATACAGTTTAGAATTTTCGTTCCAACGACTCGGCCACGGAGTGCCAAGCCATCATCGCATCAATAGCGACCCCCAGTGATGTGGTCGCGAGGCAACTAAGAACTATAAATACTGCGCAGCTTGTACCTCGATCATTATTATCTGTGATTGTCTCTGATTATGGGATTGACCCAGAATCCAAAATTGCAGCCTAATAAATTTATCGTTTCAGTGATCATACGGTCTCCTTCTGAACTGCTTTCTGGAACTCGCCTGATCGCTTCTATCAACTGATACACCTGATATTTCGAACAATGATGTCCCCCGTGAGCCCCATAACATCGTGGGCACAGGATGGTGACCTGAATAAGTATGGGTCGTACTCAGTCCTCTCTCACTCATCTGGGACCGGGGGCAATACGAAGTCCGGATGACCGGAGACGGATTCAGGAGCAGTGGCGGACAAAGCTAAACAACCTGCCTACGTATGCCACACCCGACCTGGTACGTGGGTGATGGACATCCATAGATAAGGCTAGTGGACTAATAGGAAAGCAGCATTTGTAGGACGCAGTTACCACGCAACCACACAATGGTCATAAGTAGCAGCTCCTGCACTTATCACCGGCGGCCGCACTTAGTGAGATGATTGCTTGCTCACCGGCGTTCTAATTATCAACAATATCCTCAGTTGTATCACTGGATTTGATTGGTGCCTTTGTTCTAGCCTCACCAAGAAACTAGTTTATACTACAATTTAAAGCTGTGCCCGTCCACAGGCTTCCATCAGCTCACGCTCATCAGCTCATGTTTCTCATGCAGAATCTGTGTAGCACACATGAAAAAATTGGACATTTTGCCGAAATTTAAAAGAAAATGTGGAATTAATCGTAATCCAATAACTGAAATATGCATAAAGAAATAAACCGGAAGAAGGGTTCTCTAACATAAAGAAAATAGTATTGTTACGATGTCATCTGACGATTGTATTTACATTTATTGGCCGAATTTATCGCAATTTTTCGCGCTTGCTTAACATGAGGATTCTTTAAAAGAGGGTTTTCCTAAATAAACAATAGGTATTGTTAAGTTGCCCATGGGTGTTAAACAGGTATATTTAAATTACTCCTATATGCACTTAAGTAGGCGTAGTTATGTTTATTACTGCATCCGCCGACACGGAAAACGTTAGCCTCCGGTGGTTACGTTTAGTTTCATACGCTGCAGTTTAGTTTTTACTTTATTGTTTAGTTTATTAGTTTAATTCTAGTTATCGTTATAGTTAGTTCAATTTTTAATTCAGTTTAATTTCCTAAGCGCATGCGGGTGCTTTTCGGCTTGTCGTACTACAATATCTGAAAAAAAATGTACATCCTAGAAGCTATTGTGAGTTTTTAAAAAAGTTAGAGAAGACCCTCGCTTTCACGATTTCATTTTAATCTGTAAATTTTGCTGTAGTCCGTATTGACGTGTAGGCTATTTGCAGGTACTTTTGCACTGTTCTTGTTTCCTATTGCTTGGATTGGTCATGTTAATCATCGCGCGCACATTTTGTTTCGTTTAATAGTCATTTCCTATTATTTCCTGTTTATAAACACTCTACTTTTGATTTATTTTTTTTGTTTCCCGTGATACTACCCAACCATAAAACCCCTATTAACACCGCTCCCGTAAGACACAATCTTAGGGCTAGGGATATCTAAGAACCTCGGCCATCTTTACTGTTGCCTTAATAATTAGTACATTTCATATTTCTTTTAAGTTAAGAATTCGTTCGAAATCGTTCATTATTATTTAAAGGTTTTCATATATGCGTTAACGTCGGTCTGCGAGTGATTATCAGTCGGTTTTTGTAGGAGTTTCAGTACGTACTCAATCCAAGCCTGAAATCAGGAACAGGCAACTAAAATAAATTATCTGGAGAAATCCTATGCATACCCCAGCTAAAGCTGCATAGGAAAAAGTATATTTTTCTCACAACGTATCGTGAAACCGTGGAATTATGTATCTGAATCAGGTTTCGCTTTGAAGCAACCATACAAATTGCTAATTGTGTGGGAATGATGCTTGATTGTGGCGGTTTCTTACATTTTCACTACATTCAATTTATGTCTGTGATAGAGATATAAAATATTCAAGCACATTTTCGCTCATGGAACTGGCCTTAATTGTGCGGTTGGGACGAGCTACAGAAGTTCACCTTCCAAGCTCAGATAGCTAAATTATGTGTATGACTTAGTTCTGAACGATTGTCTACATTGCTGCTGGGGACGTTAAGCTCCTGGCTGATACCGAACACCAATATTTTTAACCGAAAGCCTATACAGTGGCGCCTCGG